GACTGGTTGACACGTGCTAATAAGAACAAAGATAGAAGAGCGATGGAAAGATGTGGAACTGACTGGAGTACTAGACGAATCTTCCTCTTTCATGGAGTTTCTCCTGACATGGGGCAGATGGCACAAGCTGGGTGGTTTTGATTCAGGAGGATAGAAATGTTTTAAAAAGGGGCACCTGGGTGGCTCAGCCATTAAGCATCTGCCTTTGGCTCAGGTCATGATCCCAGGGTCCTGGGATGGAGCCCCACATGGGGCTCCCTGCTCAGGGGGAAGCCTGCTTCTCCCTCTCCCACTCCCCCTGCTTGTGTTCCTGCTCTCGCTAACTCTCTGTCAAATAAATAAATAAAATTTAAAAAAAAGAAATGCTTTAAAAAATCTGTTTACCCCATATGACAAAAGACAAACTTGTTTATTATAAAAATTTAGAAAATGCAGGCAAACTAAAAGAAAAATTTTTTAAATCACCCACCATCTCACATCCTAGAGAGAACCAATCTAAACAGGTTGGCTTACATACTTCCTTTATTTTTCCTATGCTTATGCACACAATTTTATTAAAATTATACTTAGTATTTTTGAAAACTACTTTTCACTCGACTGCGCTTTCCCTTTCATCTCTCCATGTCTATATTACAATATCCTTTTGTTAATTCGTTTTAAATTCAAAACCAACAGATGCTTTTGTTAAAAACTTCAGAGTATAGGGTAAAATGTAAAAGTAGTTCTCCTCATCTCCTACCTCCCTCCCCTGAGGTAACCCTAAGACTTTTTTCTTAATATTCTCTCCAGAAACTTTTTCTGTGACACACACACACACACACACACACAGACACACACGAACAGTATTCAGTTAATATATCACAAATGAAATCCTGTTATGTGGAAATTCAAGGTTTTTCCAGTTTTCACTGCAGTGAACATCTTTGTGGTTAAATCTTTGCACACAACCATGATGATTTCCTTAAGATAAACTCTAGAAAACGGATCACTACACTGAAAGATAGGCACAATTTTAATGCTTTTGATATGTGCAGCCCATTGCCATTCACACGGTTTGTGACAATTTCACACCTTCACTAGTAAGCAACACTGAATTTTTTATTATTTTTTAACACTGAAGTTTTTAAAACTTTTAATAACACAATATAAAAAAGTGGACAAGCCATGCGCTAGACCTGCACTGTTCAATATGGTAGCCACTAATCACACGTGGCTACTGAGCACTTGAAATGTGGCTAGTCTGAATTGAGGTCTGCTAGAAGTGTCAAAGACACACACAATTTCAAAGAATTGGTACCAAAAATAACATAAAATATCTCATTAATAATGTATGCTAATAATATATTGAAATGATTTTTTGGATATATTAAGTAAAATATATTATTAAAATTAATTTTATTTTTTTCTTCTCACTTCTTTTAATGTGACTACCAGGAAAGTGTGCTTGCATTATATTTCTCTTGGACAGCACAGAGTAGGACATGATCTGGCTCCTCAGATAATAAAACCTACCACGTGAGCTACATACACCTGATTTGGTCTCTTCCTCTGCCTGTTCCTCTCCGGTGCCACACCCCCAAGCCCCCTGTGTCTCAGTTAGAACTAACTGGGCTCTTAGAACTAACTAACATAGTACTTTTCACCACTCCAGTTCTTTGCCAGAGGGGCGCCTGGGTAGCTCAGTCGGTTAAGCGTCTGCCTGTGGTTCAGGTCATAATCCTGGGGTCCTAGGTTCGAGCCCCATGTCGGGCTCCCTACTCGGCAGGCAGTCTGCTTCTCCCTCTCCCTCTGCTCCCCCTGCTCCTGCTGTCTTGCTTGCTCTCTCTCTATCTCAAATAAATAAATAAAATCCTTAAAAAACATCTTTTCCAAGAATGATCAATAAACTCAATAAAAGTGAGTGTCCATTTTTGAAGGTAATGGGGTTGTGTGTTATGATTGTGATCTCCCAGAACTGTGAGGTGTAAACTCTGAGTCGCAAACGGAATCATTTGTCAACTGATTTGTGAGAGCATAGAAGTATTTGGGCTTCAGAAATGGCTGCGGAGTTTAGTATCACGCCCCTTCCGAACTGTGCACACAGGGCACAGAGCAGACAGAATACGCTTACTTAAGAGTCAGTTCATTGATGGAAGTTCGCCATCTCTCTGTGCCTCAATTTTGTTTTTCTTTCCCTTGAAGCGAGGATGATGGAGTGGTGCACACAGTTCCAGACAAGAGGAGTCAGCACTTTGTAAACACTGGGGGGAAAAGAGATTAGCAGGAGATTGCTGGGGCTGTTTCCTCTTACTCCCCACCTGAGGTTTGCTTAGCCACCTCACCCTCCTCATCAGCCCTCCACTCGTCCTTTCACACATATTGACTGTACCAAACACACCCTAAGTACACACAGCTTTTCATCAAAGACAAAGGCTGTTCATGGGTTGGCTCCCACTCACGGTCACTCCAGGATAGATGCAAAATGCAGATAAGTCGGAAGGAAAAGGCCCTTGGGTGAGCATGTGAATCTTGCTCTCTTCTGCCCTGTTGTCGGCTTATATCTCGTTCTTTGAGTCACTTTTTCACTGGACTCAGCTTTAGCGTTAAAAACAAAGAACAGAACAATAACAGAAGATTTTTAAAAATATATCTTAAAGTACTGGGGGCTCGATTACATGCTCGACCATTTGGAAAGTGGCCCAAACCCTTGCTTCATCCCACTGTCGCAGTCCGAGTGGCTTTTGTTGGGAAGGTATCTAGGTAAGAGAGATTAAAGCAAACAAACATCTCTGTTCCAGCCTGTCTTCATCATCATTCTTTTGTTGTGGTTGCATTAAGCTGAATTGTGTGAGAACAATGTTGCCAGTCCCCGGGAACCCTCTACTTAGAGTTTTTATAAAACTGCATTGTGATAAAGAACCAATATAACCCTTTAACAAGGAAAATGAGAGTTCTCTGTAAAAGACTCTCCGCCTCTAAATTTGGAGAAGGAGGGAAATACCTTGTTGGAAAGAGAGTGAACTAAGAACTGAAGGAGGGCTGTCTGTTTTCCATTACTGTTGTGACTCACCCAACGAACTTGAGTAAAAGTCTGCTGAGCCTTAATTTTGCCGTCTGTGAACCGGGGACAGAGTATCCCCCTTTCTTCCTGTTCATGTGGGCATTGCAATACACGAATGCAAAAGGAATAAATTATTCCTTGGGCTGCGGTGGTCTTGACCACTTTCTAACTCCAGATTCTGTGATTATAAATAATAAATACTTTCACTCTTTCAACCACCATGTTTAAATACTCTGGTAAAACCTAAAGACCTCTTATCTCAGTAAGCCAGGCTATCATTTTTGCCTTGCACAGACTACTAAGAATCTCTTTTCTCTTTTTATATTCAAAGCTGAGCATATAACTCCTCAGGTCTGTCTACCTCCCCTCTGTCTGTCCTGTTCCCCAAAGGTGAAGCTTTCAGTGGTGCTGTTGGATAAACAGCATTGGATAAAGGGTTGAGTAGCCCTTCCAGCAGCAATTGGATGAGCCCAAGAAACCAAAAACTCAATGAACCCCCTTTGGATTAAAGAAACTGTTAGAATTTTGAGAATAAAACCGTTCCCTCTCTTCTCATCAGCAGGTTGAAGCCAATATCTATGAACTGGCAGGTTGCTAGTGAAAACATGACTAAGGCCTGAGGAGTATAGTATAAAACAATATGACCTTTTTTTTTTTTGAAAAAAGGGCTTATGCACTATATAAATTTATTTCTTTTTTCAGACTACTTTTCCTATCAAAAGCACTACTCCCCAGTGTAGTTTGCCTCCTCAAAGTTTTGAAAGCATTATCAAAGAAAAACAAAACTGAGTCTAAACTAAAAGTCTAGAGCTCTCACTGGCCCTTGACTATAGATAAGGTTTCATTAATACTATCAGCCTAAATGCCATTGGTTCTTGTCCTTGATAGCTCACCCAGAACCTCCAGTCATTTGATACCCTCCCTTTGTCTCCCATCATGAGAGGGTCAATAGGATGTGTCCGCCCTGTGTACCTGAGCCCCACCCTGTCTGTGGGTTTGGTAGAATCTCCTAGACAATGCTTCTCCTTCCTCGGGCACCAGAGTCTCTCTTGGGATTTCAGTAAGCACGGCCTGTCCCTGAGGCATTTCTGCTTCTACGGCCAGGCCAAGTACCTCAGATTCCACAGGGAGCCAAAGTGACCTCCCCTCCCTCCCTGTGACACACTGTTAGAGCAGTCTTCAAACAGTATTATTTGTGTCTTGGTATTCTGCAGAGATTTGATGAATAACTCTTTGGGTTTTTACTTAACTGGCTTCCTGTTCTCTGTAAGTTGGATATGAAGGCCATTGAAGAATGAGAGAGAGGCCAGAGAGATTCAGGCCAAGCACCAACGTTCTTTCACACTCAAGGTTGCCCCTCTCCTCTGACAACCAAGACTTCATCTTGAGACTGGATCCTTCTTTTCTTTTTTTAAAGATTTTATTTATTTATTTATTTGACAGAGAGACACAGCGAGAGAGGGAACACAAGCAGGGGGAGTGGGAGAGGGAGAAGCAGGCTTCCCGCCGAGCAGGGAGCCCGATGCGGGGCTCGATCCCAGGACCCTGGGATCATGACCTGAGCCAAAGGCAGATGCCCAACAACTGAGCCACCCAGGCGCCCCGGATCCCTCTTTTCTTGACATGAATGAGCTCCCAGGAGACTTCCGTAGCCTTCACCAGAACTTCCAGGTTCCCCCTCTCGTTCACTCAACAAGCCTGAACCTCCTGCAGGGAGCACACCCCAAACACAAGCTCAGATCCCTACTAAGGAAGGATCTCCTCTTGTTTTCAAGGAGACCATCCCAGACCAACCCCAGGGATTGAACTTGAGGTGAAGACATTGTGGATTGATTGTGGGAGCAAAGTGGACGTCAGTGGTGAGGATGGTGGGGGATGTGTCCAGGGAGAGGCTGAGAAGCTTTCAAGAAGGTGCCAGGGTGCTTTGTCTCTTCACTCAGGGTCTGTGTTCTCTCTGCAGAATGACATCTTTGAGTGGGCCAGGGACCACCGAGTCCACCACAAGTACTCAGAGACTGATGCTGATCCTCACAATGCCCGCCGGGGCTTCTTCTTCTCCCACATTGGCTGGCTGTTTGTTCGCAAACATCGTGATGTCATCGAGAAGGGAAGCAAGCTTGACTTCACTGACCTGCTGGCTGATCCTGTGGTCCGATTCCAGAGAAAGTAAGTGAATAGACACCATAGAGTTGTCCCTCGGGGGACAGGACCAAGAGACAGAGCACAATGGGGTGCAATAATACCCCCAAGTAGTTCTCCTCATAGCACTTACCCTTCTTGTTAGGATTTACCTCTGTTTATTCATTTCCTTTTGCTCATTAAGTCTTCCCTGTTTACACATTTGTTCTGAATTTTAATTTTAAATCAAAATGGATTTCCTTTAAGCCCAATGTCGTTTCCCTCAGACCAATCCACACGACTGATTTTATGGAATCTGTTTCTGTAGTCCCCCATTCCCCCATCCAGGTTTCCCTGGGGTGGCAGGGAGGGCCGGGAGGACTTGCTTTATTTTAGCGAAACTTGACTCCAACAGCATTGGACTCTCCAGATATCCTGCTTTCTTCTCCTGGAATTCTCTCGTAGTGACGGCTCCCCTCCCCTGACTCCTGATATATTACACCAGTAGGTTTCTGTGCAGAGAAAATGCGACCATGTAACAGAGAGCCTCAAAGTGCTGGTGTGCACTAATGGTGTCAGCGGAGCATATTCAGTAGGTCAGCATTTGCAGGGTAGACCTACTTTCAATAGGCACATGGAGAAAATTGCCTGTAATTGTGCTGGCAAATAGAGACTGGCTATTTTTAGCCTTTTAACCAGGAAGCTGGCATAGACTGTATCCATGTTGGTCTGGCTCTGCAAAGTGGGCCACTATGAGAGCATTTATAAATGGACTTTTTGCCCCCAAAGTAATGGATTTATGTGCAAAGAGAGACAATTTATGGATTGCATTCTGGTTAGAGCCTTGAGATAATATGGTGAAAAAGTGGTTACCAGAGACCATCTCCACTGACAAGCAGGAGTCATTTGAGGACTTATCCAAATAGAAACTCCTGAAAATAGAAATGGAGGCTGCACCTTTGTCTGACACAAATGATTCTTGCATGAAAGGAAGTATGGCTTCTAATTGTGCTCGCGTTCCCCTCGGCCTCTCTCCTTACACTGGAGTGGGCAGCAATGCATGATGACAAAATGGCAGATGTGGAGACAGACTGCCTAGGATCAAACTCTGTGGCTCCTCCATGTGCTTGCAAAAGATCTGACTGCTCTTGACCACTGTCTCCTACAGTTCTTATGAGGACATAATGAAGCAAAATGTATGGGAAATGCCTGGCACACAGTTAAGAGCTTAGATCAGTGATTATTATTACACAGGCCAGAGGATTCAGTGTGTTTCCATCCCCTGCTTCTGTTGGTTTCTCCCAAGGGTCTTTGAGTGTCTCAACACAGCTATTTCAGGTGGACACACCAGTAGTTTTATAGCAGAAAATAACAGGATGTTTTCAATTAACAATGAAATGATTTGTTCATTTTGATTTTTCACCATGAGCATAAAATATTAGGGCATTAAAGAAAATCTGCAGAATTCAGAAAAGTAGGAAGAACATAATGCAGTCCTAACACATAAACACAGTCACTATTAATAATCTGTAACATATCTTTCCATGTTTTATCCCTATATTTGATATATTTTGCATGATGACAGTCATACTGCAAATGTAATTTTATGTCTTGTCTTTTAACTTCAGATTATCTTGGAGGCACCATTGCTGAAGGGCTGTGTGAGTTCACTAGTTAGTGTCACAGTTTATTTAACCATCACTCTGCAACTGAATATGTATGTCATTTCCAATTCTGTGATATAAATGATGTTGCTATATAATTAGTAATGCTTTGGGACAATCAGGCCTTAGATTAATCTGAAGAGCTCAGATGAGAAGGCAAAAGATCTTCTATTTTATTAATGAGAACTGAGCTGAGTATAATCGTCTGGGTTTCTCTCATCATAAAAGTGGAAAACTTTTTTTTTCCATCTTTTTCCTTAAAAAAAAATGTGGTAATCTGATTCATTAGGTGTATACTCATGGTACACATGTCCAAAGACTATTTCTAAATACAGGCAGAAGAACCAAGACTATTTCAGCATGTTCCCTGAATAGTTATCTGAGAACATCTTTCATCACCAGCCCAGTGACCTAAAGGGGTTGTAGCTATCATAAACCATACATTCACATCATCATTTCATATATGTCATTGAGCTCCTGCTAAGAATTGGTGCTGAAGATACAACCTTAAAGAATGATGTCTGTACCCCCTCAATTTGCAGACCAGCAGGGAACCCACAGATAAATTTACAAACAATTATACCCTAGTGAGAGTAGTGCTATAATAGGGTACTATAGGGCACCATGGGGACACAGTGCAGGCTGGTGAGGGTGAGGGAAGGCCTATGGAAGGAACTAGCTTCCAACCCAAGACCTGAAAGATGATAAGAAGATGAAGATGGGGAAAAGGATATTTAAAATATCTGTCAATACATAGAACTACATAGAGCCATTGAACTTTAGAGTAGGGAGGGACCTTATAAATCATTTAGCTCATGCCTTCCATTTCTCCTATGGGAAAATGAATAAACAAAATGTAGATAGAAAGTTGGAGATAGAAGCACTGTCTTGGGTCTTTTGGGGCTGCTATAACAAAAATAGTGTAGACTAGGTAGCATAGACAACAAACATTTATTTCTCACAGTTTTGGAGGCTGGGAAGTCCAAGATCAAGGTGTCACAGATTTGGTGTCTGGTGAGAGCTCTCTTCCTGGTTCATAAACAGCCATCTTCTTGCTGTTCCAACACAGCAGAGGGGAAGGAGCTCTCTGGGGTCTCCTTTGTAAGGGCACTAATCCCATTTGTGAGGCCTCCACCCTCATGGCCTAATCACCTCCCAAAGGCCCCACCTCCTAATACCATTGCATTGGGGATTAGGTTTCAACATATGAATTTTGGGGGGGACACAAACATTTACTCTGTGGTGACCACCTACATCTCAAATTCTTTGCCTAATGTTCTTTTGATTATACCTTGCTGTTTGAAAGGGGTTACAGCAGTTCTCTGAAGTGTGGGTGAGTACTCATGTTCTTTGGTAATTATCCAGCCTGGAGAACATAGACAACCATAATCCAAAATAAGGCTTAAAATCACTGCAGGGATCACTAAAGGAGAGAGCTTCCAGAATACACAGACATAGTGCAACAGTTTGGGTATCTTCATGTCCATGAAACCAACTTTATTGGTCCTGCCAGTCAGGCCATGTGGAGGCCACAGATTCCTTAAAGATTGAGTCCTCGCACTTGGGGTGTGAGTTGGGGTGGGGGTGGACCCTGTCATTGGCAGCATTGCCACATGAGGTCTCAGTCCTTGCTACTCTCAGCTGAGTGGGGGACTCCCTGAGTAACAGAGGCCCAGTCCTGGGTCACTTCAGTGGCACACCTTATAGAGTTCTTCCCCTAGTCAGAATCTCCACCTGCTCCTATGTGGTTCTCTGAGGGCACCAGGCCCTGTTCCAGTTTCGGTGCCCTGGGTTTGCAGCTGACTCACTAATGTTAGTGCTGATCCAGCATGAATATTGCAGTTGGTTGATAAACTTGTTCTTAGCCATCCTCATGACAACTTACCAAAGAAAAACTTGCCAGGGGTGCCTGGGTGGCTCAGTCGGTTAAGTGTCTGACTCTTGATCTCAGCTCAGGTCTTGATCTCAGGGCCATGAGTTCGAGTCCCATGTTGGGCTCCATGCTGGGTGTGGAGTCTACTTTAAAAAAAAAAAAAGGCTTGCCAGAGATCCAGGCTTGATCAAATTTCCATTATACAGTATAATAAAAGAGAGAAGATAGTGGCATTAAAGATAACAGGAAAACAACATAATTCAAGCTATAGTTCTAGACTTTTCCTCTTAAAGATAATTTTACCAAGACTGTTATAACAAATAGTTAACTGGACCACTTCAAGTTTTGCTCTACTGTCAAGTTGTGAATGACAAAAAGGCAGGAGGTGAGACGGAGAGAAGCTAATGGTATCACAGTTAGACTTTGGTGACTGAACCCTGCCCTAGGTCCCATCCTACAAGGGCTGTGCTTTTCCCCATGCAGTAAGGAGATCACAGGGCAAAGGCACATACCACCTGGAATCTTCTCTCACTTGTAGACCATGCCTCAGGGTTAGAGGAACCTGGAATTCCCTGCCCAAATGGCTCTGAGCCTACTTCCAGAGCCTACACCAGCCTCTCCAGGACTCTGTCCTCCTGGTGGGAGGTGTGTGTCCCTTAGTCCTGAAGAGTGGCCAACATGCACTGTTAGCCTGAGGATGAGCTTAGAAGCATGAGCTTGGCTGTCCACAGAGAGAGGGCAGAGCAAGGAGTAGAAAGAGAAATGGGCAGACCACAGGCCAGAGCCTCCACCTCTGCTCTTGGTCTGAGCCCTGAGAATGTTGGGGTGAGCCTAGAAGGGGGCCACTCATAAGGTTGGCAGTGGGTCTGTCAGTTAGGAGTTGTGTTTGGCCCAAGCAGAATAGAAGTTTATTTCCCTTACATATAAAAGAGCTGTGAAGGCCCAGGTTATGACAGCATCACAGGGTCAGTTGAGAACCGGATTCTTTTATCTTCTGCTCCATCAACCTTAGCATATGACTTTCATTTTTCATTTTAAGGTCTAAGGTAACCACTAGAGCTCCAACCAAAAGGAAGGTGGGGGTGAGGGTGGGGGGTAACACTGCTCACTTGAGTCAGTTACCTATAAAGAGCTTTCCCAGGAGACACATACAGCCTATCCACACACCTCACATTAACCATGTCTGCATTCAAGGGAAACTGGGAAATGTAGTCTCTTGGGTGATGCATTGCACCCTTGCATAAAATCTTGGTTTTTTTCCTATGGAAGAAAGTGTGAACTGATATGGGGTAAGCAATTAGCAGGGTCTCCCATAGTTATTTAATTAATTACTTAAGCAAAATGACTGGCCATCACAAGTTACTCAGTCTGATGTTTTCTCATTATAAAGCAAGTGAGGGGCCTTTCTGCCACCATTTTGTGAGCAGAAATTGGAATCTCACATCATTTTTCCAAGATGGCAGAATGAGGATAAAATCCAGAGGCTGTTCCTCCTAATGCTTTGCTTATCC